GTCATGCCTTGATAGTAAGCCCGATGGAAAAGACAATTTATGACCAGCTACTTGCTGAGAAAATCCTTACCGTGTTTGCTTTTCCAAGGCGGACTTGCTGTTGCAATTCAGGGCGCATATAGCATTTAATCCTGACCCACACTGTATAACTTAACTCTATTAAAAGTTAATTCTAAATGCTGATCTTGCATCGGCTTTTGTGTCCCACTAAGCCATGGATAATCCTAACTTTTGCTCGTAAATCTTACTTAGCTCGACCACAAACCCGTCAGCGAAACGACGCTCGGTCAAAATCTCCCGGAGGCGGGCAAAATAGGCTTAAAAAACTTGCCACGATATTGCGGGAATTAGCCATGTTAGACTATTTGCAAGAATGTGACCCGAGAATGCATAGTAAAAGCGACATAACTGCAGTAGAAAGGAACAGAGAGGGAAGGGAAGAGAAAGCGAAGGAGGAAGAATCACATACAAAGACCAAGGCAGGGAGAGGAGAAGGGAGAAAGAGACACGATGGATGAAGAGAAAAAAAGTGGGAGAGGGAGAGGGAGAGAGAGAAAGTAAGTGAGAGAGAGAGAGAGGGAGAGAGAGAGAGGAGAGAGAGAGAGAGAGAGAGAGAGAGAGAGAGAGAGAGAGCCTCCTCTTTTTTTACCTACGGCATTGCGTGATGTCGACCGACAATACGATTTATAACAAGCGTACATAGGTATGAGCAATGGCAGAGTCAGACAATATGGGTGGGGTGAAAATACTTTTCCGAAGTGTTGCTGGTTTTGGTGATGTAAATGTTCTAGCTATAAGGATACTTTCATCATTTAAACATTTCATCGCTTTTGTCTGCCAGCAACGCATATTGGAGGCTTAGTCAGAGAACGGAAAAGGAAGGCAACGTGCATTATCCCTTACCACCAAATTAGGTACAATGTTGCATATGTTTTTGATTGTGGAAGATCGTCCTCATTAACCGTCCTGACTTACGCGCAATAACGCATGCAGCGCGCGGGTCTATGTTGCTTTGGAAAATTGCATTTACCGTGAAATGGAAACCCTTTTTGGTAATAGATGGGAGCCCTCTTTTTGTAATCAGAAAATTACCTCAACGGTAAATTGCTAATGTTGCACATATGAGAGATCATCAAGTTTTGAACCCAATGAATAAGCTTGCATTGGCCATTTGATCGGAACGTTTCAGTGATAAATACTCTTCTGGTGGAGGCTTTTGATCAACTTAGAAGACAGTGCTGTAAAACATGTCATGAAGTGTTAGGATATCCAGGCATCCTTTCTACAAGAATACAAAATTTGTTGTTTGTCGCTTCGTCTTCCGACAAGGCACGAAATCTGCCTCGTTCAGCCTTTCTCAACTTATTAAGGCATCACCGAAACCAGCTGAACAAAACGTCAGGATAAAGTCAGACTTGGGCGCAATAAGTATCGGGTCAGTGTCGCCGGTTTGGGCATGTTGCGGACTACGACTTAGCCCCCTATGCTTTAGTCGTGCTTTAGTTCAGAGTTCGGATGTGCTTTAGTTCAGAGTGCACCTTTTTTCCTCATTTGTTTGCGCACTCTTTGTTTTTGTGTCGAATGCATTCGATTTACGCAGCACGATCTGATGTTGCCTCAAGTCCTGCCAGGTGCTACCCTAACGGTAGCGAAAACGTCAAGTCCCTGTTCGTTGCGGTATTCAGAATTTCCAGGAACGGATGTTGGATCAGCCACTGAAGACGTCCAATTCCTTTTGAAAGCCGACATCTCAAAAAGGCGCACGAGTGACGTCACCGCCCATCTCAGGCTCCTGGAAATCGTACACGAATAGCAGGGCTGAACAGGTTGGCTGCTACGCTACGCTTTGAGCTTATATATTGAACGAGGCTACCCGCAGTGCAGATGGTCGCTGCTAGCCGCGAGAGCGCCGGCGTGCAGCCTGCGGCATTCCAACTCTCTCCCCAACATGACACGAGGCCAAGCCGTTTTTGGACATTGAGAGTTCTCATGCTGGTAATAGGCGGCTTTTAACATACTAACAGGCACCGGCCAAAGGAAAGCATCAAATCAGTACCAATGGCAAGTGCTCACTCGTAGCGATGAGGGCTCCTAAAACAGCGGGTATTTCCACTGTGACCGTTTGACGCCTTCTTTTAACCAGCAAATAGCGCTGATAATAGGCGGCATTTAATATACTAGGAGGCACTGGCCAGAGCAGTGGATCAAATACGCAATCATGACAAGTGCTCACTCGTAGCGATGAGAGCTCCTAAAACGGCGGGTATTCCCACTGCGACCGTTTGACGCCTTCTTTTACTAGTAATTCCCGGTGTAGCTCTCAATGTTGAGAACAAAATTGCCTTTACTTCGGCGAGAAAAAGGCGTCTTTCATGTTGCGTCACGTGAAAAACATCGAAATTCGCAGGCAAAACCACGCCCAAAGTCCCTGCCGGTGGGAGACGGTGCATTCACCAGGTAAGCACGCGATCGTACGTACCGCGCGAAAAGCAACAGGCGCCGAAAAAGCCCGCACGAAAGCGATAACAGAGGGGTCGGGTACTCGCCGTTTCCTAGGTTATATACAACAACGATATTGATCAAGCTCCATGTGACGTCACACATGCTTCACGGCAGTGTTGCCGGGAGCGTGGCCACGCGCTCTTTCCCGTCGATGGGCACTGCAGCTGACCAGGCCACGCTTTATGGGGCGCGACCGGGCTTCCACGACGCCCACACGGGTAGGTTTGGCGTCGATGGAAATGGCGGGGGCGTGATTCGCGGTGCGGCGGTGCGAACCCGGCGTCCTTAGCGACACCTTCTGCGTGATATAGGACAGTGCTGCGGTGCGGTGCCACGACCGCATGACCGTCCAGCACGGCAAACATGACCTCGAGTGGTGGCTTTGGCGCCGGCCGCGCGACGCTTACAGAGCCTGCCAGTCGCTGCCGGCACTGGAGCAGCCAGCACAGCAGCACCACAGCAACACAGCAGCACAGCAACACAGCACCGCGGCACCGCAGCACCACAGCACCACACCACTACACCACCACAGCATCACAGCACCACAGCACCACAAAGCCTGCCAGTCGCTGCCGGCAGTGGAGCGGCCAGCATCACAGCACCGCAGCACCACAGCAACACAGCACCGCAGCACCACACCACTACACCACCACAGCACCAGAGCAACACAAAGCCTGCCAGTCGCTGCCGGCACTGGAGCGGCCAGCACCACAGCACCGCAGCACCACAGTATTACAGCACCACAAAACCTGCCAGACGCTGTCGGCACTGGAGCAACCAGCAACGCAGCACCACAGCACCGCAGCACCATAGCACCATAGCGCCACAGCACCACAGCGCCACAACACCACAGCACTACGGCACCGCGGCACCACAGCACCGCAGCAGCACAGAACCGCAGCAACACAGCATCACACCACCACAGGCCGCCACCGCTTCGCATACATGTTCCAGCGCTTTGCCGCCCATCAGGACTACCTGCACACCGCGCATCTCTACATTTAAATCTCTGCCAAATATCTTGCCTGCCCCACAGGGGTTAGGACACAATTCTCATGACTGATTTCGCGGCCGGTCTGTTGAGTGTTGACTGATGGCCCACAGGGCGCGGATGTCATGTGCGCTGATGGTGTTGCACACTCTCAATCCGATCACGTGACCTCGCGCCGCGCCTCGCGCCCGGAGACGGCGGCGCGTGGTGCTCGGACAGGGACGCGACTCCCTCAACTCATTTGTCGGAAAAGGGTTTGTTTCATTCACAACGCGTGAACGAAACACGGCGGCCTCGACGTCGCTCACGACGCCGGAACACAGAGCGTGACAGGCTATGGGCGTCAGTCAGAAATGCCCACTAGGTCAGACCCTCGATGCCAGTCTGACAGACCTTGCTACGTCTGGGTCGGTCTCGCTTAGCAGCGTCATCTGTGACGACGAGCACGTGTGGCCAGATCTTCCCAGCTATGCAACGACGTCACCAAGGGCAACGCGAGCTACACTACTGCGGAGTCAAGCTGGTACGGGACGTCATCGACCGAAACTATCATGATGGAGTAGTTTCGTGCTGTTATGCAGTTGACCAGGCGACCCTGCCAGGCAGGTCATTTGTACACGAAAGCTGCGGTGCTTAGGGTGATATTTCGTGGTGCTTTAAAACGATACCTCCGTTACGAGGCAAACAGAGGGGGTGCTGTCATTGAGACACCTTAAGTACCGTCTGCCCCATTCCGAGGCTCACTTCAGCGCCTCTTCGAAAGCATTTCTGGGGCTTGATAACAGAACTTCGCTGTAACATATTCCAACGTATTTCATGGCCTCAGCTTATCTGCAACAGCCTACGTAGCCGTCAAAACTTGTAACTTATGCTTCCAGCGCCGGCACTGAAAGCACATAGTGTAAAAGAACGTCTGTCAACTGTGTAAGAACAGACCAGAAATGAGCCACAAACACAATTGTCCCGCACCGCACCTTAAAAACACTGGCGCCAACAGATCACGCGTCCTGAACTAGAGACACCTTAAATGCCTAGGATCAGGCACTTCCCCGGGGGAGAATGAGGGTCGTTTCAGCATGCGAATAACTTTCGCTGGCAGCAATGACCAGGGAGCCGGCATTCTAGGCCGAGGTGTTGGTTGGTGGGATAGCTTCGAGATGTCTGCTGCTGGTTCCATGTTTCGTATGTGGGAGGCTGCGCCGCCGAAAAAGAAAGAAGCGTGCTTGTTAGCAAATTTCCCCCATAACTTGCAATATTTTCATCTAACTCTCCAACGCCAGGTCTTCCAAGTCCGCAAACAGCGGGAAACTGCTTTTGACGATGGATACTCACTTTTTTCAGCTCGTTCAGGTCGGTTCATCTATTAGTTGCCCTGTTGCCATTTTACGGCCCAGGCTACAACACGCCTGCCTGCTCCTCCAATGGCAATCCAAAGCCAGGTGCCCTCACGTCGGGCCGAACTCAACAACCCAACAGCAAACCAATAGAAGCTAGCAGTTAACAACAGTAAACCTGGCATAGAACCATGCCGCTGTATTAACCCGCTAGTACACGTTGTCAAAAGCATTGCAACGTCACAACGTGGTCGGGATGTTCAACGCCTAAAGTCGAGGCACCAAGCCACGGTTTTTCGCACAGCAAAACAGTAGCACAGCTGCGCGATGCAGCACACGACGGAAACAAGTTCGGTACCCAGCACAACATTACCTTCCATACCATCAATCCCTAACAGCACATGGGCCATGTGTAGACATCAGCTTCCCATCCGCGAGAGACAGGAAGAAAAACTCCAGTATAGTCGACAACATGGAGACATTTTCTCACCAGTCACACTTCAAAATGCAATTTTTACGACTGCATCATCGCGAGGAACATTCTAGAATCAATTCGAATACGTCCACACGTGCCGATAAGGCACAGCTTTAGTTGCAGAAGCCGTCGCTAGATGGCACCGCTATGGAGGCGCAACGCCACGTCCGACACCTTTGCACGAATGTTCGTCCAAAGCCGTGATGACGGTGGTCCGTGTCGTCCAAAGCCGTGATGACGGTGGTCCGTGTCTACATGTCAATCACGTATCACTCAACTCCGCTAGCTCGTCGTCCTCCAGGTCCAAGTCCTCCAGATCTTGGAAGAGAGACTCATCCACTTTCACATCCTCGCCAGCTGTGGGGACATCAGACTGTCAGACACAAACGTTCACAACCCACATCCCGCACACCGTAGTGGTGCGAACAAAGGAGACAAGGCCCACCTCCAGCCATTGGTCAGCTGAAGGCAAAAGTAGTGGGTACCACGATTAATTTTCACCTCCTCACCAGATGACGGCAAACCAGGATAAGACGTGGAGGTTCATCCTGCTTACAATGCGAAACGTGATGCAAGGATTCGCAATGGAAAATACGACCGCATTTAAAAACGAGCCTACTAGCCACGTAACAGGAAGTCTTTCTTCGAAGGACAGAAGACATCGACTTTAGTGAGCCGATCCGACACGTTCTCCCCTGTCCGAGGACCATCGCACTGTTAACTGGCACTGGCACATGGTGTAGCGCAGACACCCTGGGCCGGGGTCAATGCTCGTGCCTCGCACTGGTCCTACAGCCTCTTACCATCACTACCGGAGCAATGCCAGTGACTCATACCAATTTGATGTAATATCCAGCGAGCGTCCTAGCCTACGACATGCCAGCTCGCAGCTGCTGCTCGCACTCTGCGTAGTGTCCAAAGTCTGATAATTATTGACGATGAGTCAAGAAGACTGTTGTTGTTTACCGGACACCGGCAAAATGATGCCCATTAAAAGGGGGAGTGAGTCTTAGAGCGCCAACAGTCGACAATCAGTGTGATAACTTAACTATGAACAAGTGAACACGACTTCACATCATTCGTACTCTCTCCACACAACCGTACACAAACAAAGCCCAACCAGCTTCTTCCAGGGACCCTCACCGTCCTCCAGGAACTTGATGTCCGAGTCGACCAGGGTGGTGTCCTTGAGGAAGAGCTCGCGTCCCGACAGCTTGTTGCGGCGCGCCGCCTCCAGATCGCGGGCCTTCTGCGCCCGCATCGCGCTCATCTCCTTCTCGAAGCCCTCCTTCCACTTGAGGAACGTCTCCACGGAGACGCGCGTGCCTTCGAAGCGTTTCTGGAGGCGGGACGTGTCGTCTGATCAGGGCTGACGGCGTGGTCTCCAGCCGCCCGCAGCCCGCGTCTTCCACATGGGCACGTTGTGATGGATATGCTGGGCGCACTGTGTAACAATGTGTAATGGGTCCGTTGTACGTTGGGCACGCCTCATAATGGCACACTGTCACTGGAGTATGACTTGCCTTGTCATGTCCCTGTCACTGTCACATCACGCAATTGTCATTAAAATAGGCGTGAATAGCCAGGAAGACCAGGGCTGTGACGGTATCTTAGAACGACATGCTTTATTTGCTACCTATATTGCTTTTTTGAATGAAGCATACAAAATCCAGAAAGGGTTATGACCATCATATCGACCGTTTTCTCGCGGGTGTGGCACAATGGTTATCTCAGCGCCTATCACTGGTGCACGCATTAGTAAACACTTCTTAAAAGCTGGCTCCCTGGTGATGAGCATCCAGTCTAATATACAGCTGGCGGCGATATTTGTCATCTACATGAATGGAGGACACCACAGACGCACAGCCCCGTCCCCCCCCCCCCGCCCCTCCCTCCCCGTACGCCTCCGCCGCCGGACAGTTGGGGGCGGCCAATGCCCCGCCCGACAGCTGGTCAGTCGGGGGCGGCCCATGCTCCGCCCGACAGCTGGTCCCTCAGAGGCAGTCCAGTCAGCACCAGCCCCCACAGGCTACAGTCCCGCCCCAGTCGGCGCCCCACACTGACCCGCTCGGCCTCCTCCAGCTCGCGCTTGACCCGCTCGGCCTCCTCCTCCTTGCGCCGCCGCAGCTCGTCGCAGTGGTTGTTGAGCCACTCGCTGGCGGCCGACGCGATGGTGAACACCATCACCATGCCCAGGTTGGCCTCGGCCTGCCGCCAGGGACGCGTGTCAGCGTTGCCGCCAGAACGAATTTCGGGAGTCAGGCGGCGTCACCGCCAGAGGAGTGGTACAGCAGCCAGGACACTCACAGCGGAACGCCATGACGGCGACAGTGGTCGGTGAATTTGAGCGACGGCACAAGACACGCATGCAGGTGCTGCCAGACACGCATGCACACGCATGGCGCGAAGAGTGCGGTGCCGGGGCGTGCGGCAAGTCATTCGAGAGCGCAGGTGGTGTGAAACACCGCACGCTGTCAACTCCACAGACCAGCAGCAGCCGGTATACGCAACCGGCTCGGACACGGGGCGGAGAACGTGCGAACCCCCTTCCCCGCCTCCACCCCCCCCCCCCCCCACCGGACCCGTGACATCAGACACAAGTCGACCCACCCCCGAAACTGCAGCCGTTCTCTCATCCGCCATCAGAGTAGCAACAGCATTTCCTCCCCTAACGGACCATCCACTTCCCCAGTCAACGCTCACCACCTCCTCCGTCCGGTTTCACACACATAGGCAGAGCCGCAGACATAGACAGCATCCCAGCAATCCACAACAGACACGTGGCGATCACCGGACATAGTCAGAATGATATAAAAAGTGATTTTCAGAGAACGGCGACATCAAACACACATAGGCATGCACAAATGCATACGCTCACGTCGAAAAAGTAACGACGAGCGGGAGACCGTAACCACGTGCCTGACGGCCAGGTAGTAGGTGGCGCTGCAATGCATGCCTTGTAGGCACTGCAGCAAATTGTATTGTCAGGTGGCGGCACGGCGCACTGGGCGGCGGCCATGAACCAAAACATCGCTTCGTCATCTGGGGTACGAACCAGGGCCACGGAAGCCACCATTCTGCTCTGATCATCACCTCAGATCATCTCATGCCCACTTCTTCCCCTCCATCACTGACCTGACCACCCTCACCACTGCTCCAGTGGCCCTCCTCCGGTCTACCCTCCCACCGTCGGCCCCGCCGCGGGCGGAACGGCAGTCACCCACCTCGGCCTGCAGTGTCTCCATCAGCTGCTCCACCTCCAGCGGCACGCAGTTTTCGGGCTCCTCCAGGATGTCGATCTGGGGCGCCTCGTCCGGGTAGCGAGCCGGGCATGTGATGGCCAGCAGGCAGCGGCAGCCAGCCGCCGGATCCAGGTCGTAGTCCATGCTCTTGACGGCGATCTGGTACTGGCCAGGCCCCACCACTGCCGAAGAACGGGCGACAGTGACGGTGACTGACGGCCCCACGGCCCCGCGCACGCCGAGCGACGACAAACCGGGGCGCGCCGGGCTGCCTACCTTGCTCTGGCATGGGCAGCATTGTCAGGCAATGTTGTCATAGGGAGACGATGTTACTAAAACAAACAGAAACTCCAGCGGCCTTAATGTGATCTTAAAGTTGGTTGTCTGGAATGCATTCAATCTTATGGGATTTTTTAGGGGAATAAGTGGACAACATTGCATGCAATTGTGTCATCAAATATGCTCAAGCATGGATTATGACATTTACAAGGTCGAAAAAAGCACAGCAAATTTCCCTGGGCTGCAAAGAAAACAAAACGCATACTTGATCAGGTGTTGTGCAGTTGTCACTGCATTTGTCATGGATTTGGGCACGCAAACTGTGTTTAACTATGCAAAAAAGAGTGATTGCAAATTTTCCAGAACATTTTACCCACCCAGACCCATGGTATCTTTGGTGGTCTCAAGGTTACAGAAAGAGACAATTATAATCGAGGTCTGGGAACCACACTTTGGATCACTGATGAAAGGCAATCTACTTCAAGATCAAGTTTCCTTGAACAACACAGTCAAGCATCTCCTTTGAAATGAATTAGTTACATTGACCTAATAAAGTCATGGCAAGACAAAAAATGTAATGGATTGGACATAATACACCCTTTTTGCTCCCAACAACACTTACCTTCTAGTTCATCTGGATATATTGACTGAAGTGCTTCCAGCTCATTTTCCTGTTCTTCAGCATAGTTTATATCCATGCTGATATTGTTGTCTTCTGCAAGATACACATGGATAAATTTTAGTGACCGCAACCACAGGAAATAATGGTGGACAGAACAATCAGTGATATGTTCACTGGTAAACAAATATCCAGAGCTTTCATTAATATCACAACCCACAATGCATATCTGAAGCCCCCTTGTTAATGACAATGGTTTAGAAGCCTCTGAACTTTGTAGCATCATCTGCTACTTAATACAGAAAGCAAAAATGCAACAAATAATACAGCCATTGAATGCAGAATTCAGCCCAACTACAAATGCAAGGCATTATAAATATCCCCACTTTGCATGTTCAAGGTCTTGTTTGAGGTCTTGTTCAAGGTCATGTAAAAGTTTACAATACTGCAGTGCTTGGCATGGTCTATCCTGCCCCCTGACTTCACTGGACCTTAAGGGTGGTTGTTACCACCACCCACAAACCATTCGTCCAGGGCTGATAGCAAGTGCACAAAGTGACTCAATCCATGCAGCCACTATGGGTGGATCAGAAAGCAGGTGCTCTAACCAACTGATCTATAGAGAACAAAGGCAATAAGGAGGAACTGAACAAGAAAACCATCTAATATAAAAACAGCAGAATATAGCAAGGAAGATACAACTACAAAATACACATGCATCAATGGAATCACACATACCGTAAGCATGGTGTCTTTTGCAAACATTCCAGCTAAATAGACTCAAACATGCATTGTCCAAGCAACAACTTGCAACCTCCAAATGCTAGCCATTTTACAATGATATATCAATATATTAGGTTATCACAACAATTACCCGGAGATTTTCAGATCGTTTGTACGAAGGCTTGCACTTACGTCTGCACCTCTGGTCAGCAGCGGATTTGCGCCAAATCGGTCCTACTTTTCCTGTAGGGATTCTTGATGGTTGATTTCCAATAGCAGACAAACAAAATGTCACGATTCTCAGTCAGAACTGGGGCAAACCAATCCGGACGTCACTGCCGGGCACATGTTTTCCGCACCCGCGAACCATGAAGTCAAGGCCCTGGAACAGAAGGTATAACCGTCCGGCCATAGCCCGCTGCTTCGACTGATGACGTCACAAGTCCAATCGGCACACAGTGACCAATGGCGGATACACGCCTACCGCAGTTCTCGTGCCTTTTTGAAACGATTCTAAGACTGGAAGTTGCTAAATATTTTTGGTCGGATCATAAAAGACTATGTCTTTTCCGAACAGGCTACAATATGAGCTGCAAGGCTCATCAGTCATTAATTGGCTGGCGTCCCAACTTAGCGCCTCGGGCTAGAAAGCCGGAAGACAAAACCGTCACAAGGCTTTTTCGAGAATTTACTGCCTAAGTTGGAAATATCTATGCAAACAATAAAAGGTAATGGGCATATCTTAAAGAAGCAACAATTAGAAATTATACTGACATGAAAGGTCAAGGTCAGGCCAAAGGCCTGCGGCCCCCCGTTACATGTTTGCAGGGGCTGGGTCAATTGAGGCGTTTCAGTTATTCAACAAGAATGCTCTTTGGCTAATTGAGGATGCTGCGTTGCGAGCTTGTAGATGTCACAATGGGGTTAGGTCAGGGCCATTCCATAGGCTAGCGTGATAATTTGGTGTATTCGTGCGTCCGACGATTCAAAATATTTTCACATTCATTTTGCTCGCGCTATACAGCTTAAACGTCAGCTACAATTTTGCTCTGGTCAACACATAGTCAGATGTAGGTAGGATGCCAAAATGAGGTCATACGAAGTCAACATGACACGCAGTAAGCTAGTCATGGCAAAAGCTATTCCATCTGAAATGTTGAACATGTAAATAAGTCTACAGGACTCCAACTTATAATGTTTTTTAGTCGCGTACTTCAGGATGATCTGGTTTACCTTTTTGTTGGGTTTCTTACCTAACTTGGACATTGCTTGCACCGTTCTTATGATATGATAAACCCCATGTGGTTATCTTGTTTCAAAATCGAGCTAACCAACAAGCAACGTTGTGAGGAACTATACCTAAAAAGGCAAACGACTTAACTTTGCTTTGCTTGCTGCTTCTCGTTGACACGCAACTACGCATATTTGGACGCGCTGCTCAGCACTGTTTGTCAATTTCCGTTTCATTCTCAACGTATTGATCCATAGGCTGGAAAAGTTGCCGTTGATAAAGTTTGGATAGCAAACTTATAGTTAGTTATAGTATGGTATAGTTAAACTTATAGCTCTATAAACGTTTATCAAAAAGAGTGCAGTTACAACTTCAGCTGGAAACAAAGGCGTCATACTTGTGTGTACATTAAGATAGGTTATAGGTTATAGTCGCCGCACTGTTGCTTTACGACTCACTTAGCTGCTGCGGTTATATGGTGTCACCTACCTCTTGCCCTGGCAGGAAGGGCGGGCACCGCGGGGACTCGAACCTAGTACCTCTGGTTTCCCGGAAGCACAGGAATTTACCAGATGCGTGTGCCTCTGCACTTTCGGCACCCAAAGATATATCATAGGGAATAAACAACTTGTCCGACCTTTCCAGCCATGATCAAAATTTTGCAATAGCTTCAGAATTCAGCGAGCCATCACAGCAAATTAGATTTCCAAAAGCAAAGCCAATTTTAAGTCTATTGGACCACGACTCATAAAGTGATTTTTAACACTGCGTCTCGGCAATACAGCAGTCGTTGGCTCTGGCGTAAAACACAACCCAACACACGAATCTGGTGGCGTGATTTACATAGATCCGTAACTTTTCCTTAAAAATGGGACAAGTGTTGTTAAACTTTCTACCTTTGCTTGACGTGTTGTGTATGAGAAGACGCCATTACCTAACTTCTAATCTCCGAAAAGGGCTTTCTTCACCTGGGCCCAATCTCGGCGGCACACCAACTCTTCCACCCTTGCCCAGCAAAGCACTTGTAGCGCTGGCGAGATATGCTCCAGGTGCTGCAACCCAGTCACAAGTCTGGCCACGAGGTTCAGCGGGTTTTTTTTGACACGCTGAAGCTGGAGTCCAGTGTGCACATTACATTCGACAATATCTAAAACGCGATCCGTTGCCAGCGAACAGACCTCTATGCAGGGGAACGGCAGTAACAATTGAATATATCCGTAATCGAGCAAATGCGAACGATAGGGACAAGGCTGAAGTGCGAATCAGGCGCAGCTGCCGCTGATTCGCACGCACCTACGTAGCTGACTATATATACACAATACGAAGTGCAGATAAGTCATCCCGCTTCGGCGTGGCGAGCTGTTCATCGGAACGAGAATCATGAACAGTCTGCACAAGTAACCCACTCATATACTTAGTGTCAGGGCATTTAAGCTACCTTTTTGAGACGCGCGAAACATTGCGTGCAAAATTCATTTGGGGAGTAAGAGTAAAGGTGAGTTTTCTCCACACCAAATCTGCGCGCTCTTGTTGACATATCTGGTTGGATACTGATGTGGCCAAACAAACACAAGTGGCAACCTTTGGGATATACAAGGTGTGTATTTCTTTGTATTTCACACCGGAGTGCTCGATACTTGTACATGTCGGCGGTGTAGAGCATCCAGTGTCCCTTGGCTGTTAAGCCTGCGAAGCCCATATTCTTTTTGCATCACGGAAGTCACATTTCTGAGTTAACATTTTTGCGTTTTTCTGCTGAACAACCACCAACACGGTACAAATTGGCATATTTCCATACTATCCTCACAAAATATTCCACACATCACAAGAACATTCCCTTTCTTTTGCAACCAGAAAGTACATTGCGGAAAATCTACGAAGATCTCTGGGTTCACCGTTTTCGGCAAGAGCCCCTAGAATCGTAGCAATTTAGCATTGGCGTCATGCGATGTCACTCAAGTCATGACTAGCTCGAATTCATATACAATAGGGTATGTAATCAGTAACAACTGCTCACAGGTTGTAGCTCGTTGAACAAGTGCAGGGCGCGGCCGAACTCGGACGTAAAGCGAGTCACGTAGCGGCTGCCTAGCTCAGTGATGACAGCCACGTGTTTTTCGACGGCATTCATCTGGCTCCGTGTGGCTCATGTAGCTCCTGCCGTCGCGGCCGTCGGAGTGGAGGACGGTCAAACCTGATTCGTGGAATGCTCCACCATTTTGACGAGCCATCTCTTTTCTTCTTCTGTCTCTTGCGCGACAGACCTTCTCAGGACCTGCGATATTTGATTGCAAGTAACCAGTCCATCTCTACTGTCTTGGTGAAAGGCGATGATAGCAGCAGCGACCCGTTTCGAGCCACCGTAGCTGTCAACCGCCAGAGCTGTTAGTCAGATCGTTAATGTTATAAGCTATAGTGGCAGTGGTCTCAACCGGAACGAACAATCGGCGTCATCGCCATTTTCCACCATGTACGGAACCGTGAATGAATACATGAATCTGTGCTCTCAGCTGACTCGTCAGCGCTGAGACCACTTGGTCCCGGAGCATGCTCGGGGTCAGCATTAGCAGCCAGCGCTGGCTCAGCAGGCGGCGCGAGCTCAGCAGTCGGCGGAGAAGGCGACTCAGGGTGAGCAGCACACACCTCGTCACTGGCGGCCGAGCCACGACGCTCCTGGAGTTGTCTGGTCACCCTCCGCATTTCGCGAGCCTCCCTAGTCACAATCGTATGCCGGTCATATGACCTCAGGGTAAGCTTCTGGTGCCTGCACTGGTCCTTCATGGCAACCTCCTCCTGATACACTGCGTAGACAACTAGGCATGGAAAGCTGCACTGAGGCTCGCACTGACATTTCGCGACATTAAGAAGCTGGTTGAATTTCGTGGTAGCGGCTTTGCTATGTCACTCCCTCTCCCCCCCCTCTCTCTCTCTCTCTCTCTCTCTCTCTCTCTCTCTCTCTCTCTCTCTCTCTCTCTCTCTCTCTCGCTCTCTCGCTCTCTCTCTCTCTCTCTCTCTCTCTCTCTCGCTCTCTCTCTCTCTCTCTCTCTCCCTCTCTCTATCTCTCTCTTCTTGATTTCTTCCTAGATCATGAGTAGGGGTCGCTTCGTTGGTCCACAGTACTCTTATTTCTACTGTCGCGTTCTTGAAAATGGTATTAGTGAGAGTCCTCTTCGATTCACTCAGCTGCCTGATGAAGCTTGAGGTTTCTCGCAGTCGGCAGCTGGTGGTGGGACAGAAGAGCCGGGCGGCCTGTCACAAAATGTTTCGTGCTCGACCGTGTAGCCTTCGACATGCTCATGAGAGTAATTGTTCGAAAGAAATGTTTCAATGCCAGCAAAACTAGACTAATAAGCTCATATCTCCCAAGCAAAAAGCACAAAGTGCAAATAAACATCACAATGATGCGTTAGCAAAAACAAACTTGAGCCCAACCCGGGCTGCTCGGGCATTCTCGTAGCCGCACAGCTTCGGGTTTTACCAAAAATTAATGTTCTCTACTAAAAAGTCTGCTTAATAGCTGTTTGCCAATGCTCTGCTGGTGCTCTTTATGATATCATTTCATACTTAATCTGCCAAGTGCCTGTAGTGTGGAAAGTGGCAACTTTGAGGTTTGGTGGAGGATGATCTTAGTGCGTAAAATAGGTGGCGCTAGCATCGAATGCCGTTTTCTTCGCCTGTCAAAGAAAAACTGGTCTTGCCTAAAGAATATCAACATCGGTGCGGCGCGACAGACTTGAAAGTTTATCATTAACACGTGTGCCAAGGAAAAACCTTGTCTCAGCTGATTCCAAGAGATTTACCCCCACGGTGACACACCCTAATGTACAAGCTACTGCTTTCGTGTTTAAAAATTCGTTGTAAGGTAAGCAAACTTAAAAAATGCAGCTGTGCTGGGTTCGTCGCAGGTAAGTTAGCGATGGCTAGTCATTGGAACGGTGTTATCGCGTCTGTCTTCGTTGGTATTTGGAACCTAAATTTAACTCGCTTTGCCAACCTGCTCCAAAGGACCTAGCCTCAAATGGTATGACCCATCAGTCTCTGGAAAATATAAGCGCGTGCCATGTACAAATCTACCAGCTATGTCTAGCCCTCCACGATGCGCGGGGGAAGTTTCCTGATTGAGAGGCAGG